AATTATAAGAACTTGTCCAAAGTTCACCGATATTCATGCTCTAAAGCTTCTAACTTTTTTTTTGTTTTTGTCAAAAAGTTTCCGAGTATAATTGGTTGTATAATTGGTAGAATTGAGTGGAAAAAAGTATCGAAGAGAGAGAGGAAAAGTAACTATTGGAAGAAAAATATTTCCATCTACAAAATGTAGAAGGAAGAATTCATCTATTTTCCTCTTGTTTTTATTTTTTAATAATAAAATGTGAGAGAACAAAAAATTCTTTCATTTCTTCTTGATTGATGTAGATGTGGTAGAAAGAAATAAATTTTTTTGTTCTTTTCCTCTAAGAACACGTAACAGTCACACCCTATGAAAGCCAAAGCCAAAGCCAATGGCGTTCATAATTATATTGTCGGAAAGAGAAAATTTATTTAACAATTTCAAAAGGAAACCAGCTCTTCTTCCACATCAGTCATCATGCAGATTAACGTCCATAAAAAGTTTGGGCCTAAAATGGGTCGACCTTTAACGGGCTCTCACCATTTTTAAATTAAATGGGCCTAATTAAGGCCCAACAAATATTCTTTTTTTGGATTTTTGTTTGTCAAGAGTAGTTTTTGGAGTTTTGTGTCTTTTCCTTCATGGCTCTCTACTTGTACTGCTACGGCGGCGACAGAGAAATTACTTTTCCGGCAGCGCATTCTCTCGTCGATCGGAGATTCCCGCTCCGATCATCGGATCCAGAGAAACCCCGCCAAATCCCTAAACAATCATCGGAGCTGAAGCATCTGCGACGGTGTGTACGGATCCTGAATCCTGATAGGTGAGAAACCTTAAACCTCTACGAATTTATTGAGATTTTGGAAACCGTTTCTTTAAGTCGGTGAATTTCAGTTTTATAGAATCAGAAAATATGCCTGCAAATCAACTTGAGCTAATTTAATCAAACTCAATCTCTGTTCTCTTCCAAGTGGTTTTTAATATATATATGTCACAAAGCTTCCACATTGTTTAAAGCTAAACTTAGTTCTAGATTTTGTCTTCCCTCGGCTCTGCGTTGACTATCTAGTTTCTTCCCTGGATTCCAGATTTTGATCCATCCAAGGTTCTTTTACATTTCCATCTCTCTTAGATTTTGCACTTGAAAAATCTTATTACAAGATCTTCAACCTTATCTTGCTAGATTCGAAAAATCTTATTACAAGATCTTTAATCTTATCTTGCTAGATTCCAAGGCTATTCTTGACTTTTGGGTTCTTGGTTTTTCAGCTTATGGCTACTAGTAAAGTACCGTGTAACAATGGCCAAAGAAGCACGGTTTCGGTGGTCACTAGGAGGAGTTATCAGGTCGTTATAGCAGCGACTAAAGACATGGGTCTTGGTATGAATATGAAGCTTCCTTGGGATTTACCCACAGATTATCAGTTTTTCCAAGATGTAACAACTAGGACATCCGATCCCATGAAGAGGAATGCAATTATAATGGGAAGAAAAACATGGGAATCTAATCCTCTTGAGGTTCGTCCCATTCCTGGTCGCCTCAACGTTGTTCTCACGAATTCTGGCTCTCTAAACATTGCCACGGATGAGAATGTATTCGTGTGTTGTAGCATGGAATCGGCTCTTGAACTTTTAGCCACCGCACCTTATTCCTTGTCCATTGAGAAGGTCTTTGTCATAGGAGGCGGCGACTTGTTAAGGTTTGCATCCTGTGTCAGTTTATGTTCCGATGTTTCCACTTGGTTCTTTATTATTTCTCTAAAACACCTTGTGCCAAAAGTATGAAAATGTCTAGATGTGGTTGAAGTTCTTCTTAGGCCTTAAGTTAGATGATTGAAACTGTGAATAGGTGAAAGATTGGAATTTGGATATTTCTTTCAAAGTTTACTCAAGATCTCATTCTCTCTCTGCTCATTATTGATGTGGTCTTTGTACAGGCACTATATGAATGCACCTAGCTGTGATGCTATCCACCTAACCGAAATTGATATAATCATGCCATGCGACGCATTTGCACCAAGGGTGGATACTTCTCTATACCGTTCTTGGTACTCATCACTTCCAGTTGTGGAAAATGGAATTCGGTATAGCTTCAACACTTACATCCGAAGAAAAGATCCCATTGTCGGATCTGGTGAACATAAAAATAATGCTGAGTCAGTCCAGCACTTGTTCTTGCCCAAGATGGTTTTCGAGAGGCACGAGGAGTTTGGTTACTTGAATCTTGTTCAAGACATTATATCGAATGGGGACATGAATGACAATAGCACTCTTTCTAAATTTGGCTGTCAGGTGAGCTACACTCCATATCTGTTAATGTCTTTTTCCTTTTATTTAGCTTATATGCTTAATAGTTGGCTTGTTAATTTTTCATGTCCTGTTTTGGTTCATTTACAGATGCGGTTCAATCTGCGCAAGACTTTCCCTCTTCTTACAACCAAGGCATGGCTTCTTTATCCCGTATTAGTGCTATTGTTTTAGCTTCAAGTAAAACCATTCCTTTTCCTCTTGTCATCTTCTTTTAGTCACAACTTTTATGAAGGAGTCCACCTAATTTCTGATTTCAGTTCAAGAAGAACACCTCAGTTTTATTTGATTAGAGAGATTGATTTTGTCGGTTTTTTAATCTGTTGCCTTGCAGAATATATTCTGGTTAGGCGTTGTAGAGGAAATCATACAACTCATCAGTGGTTCAACCAATCCCAAGGTAAAACCAAAAGAGACCTATGTGCTTACTAACACAGTGACGGACAATGATCATGCCCCAAAATCCTTGTGTTCAAGATTATGTTTTCTTTGTTGATATATTGCAAAAGACCTGAGAGTGAAACATATTATATCTCATAATGTTCTTTCAGGAAAAGGGCACTAGTCATATTTGGGACAGTGATGAGGCTAAAGAATATCTTGACAGGCAAGCACAGAATTGAGGATTTAGAAAGTAGGTTTACTGAAACCAGACTCACACACCGATATTTGTGTTCCAGTTTCAGAGTTAATGCCACAGAAGAAGATGGAGACCACCCGCTCTTGTATGGACTCCAGTGGAGACGCTCTGATCCTAGGTTGGTGATATGTCTTCTTTGGATTGATTGTTCATATGTTTTGCTTCTTTGACTGATTGGTTTTTACATTTTCCAGTCAAGAATTGAGTCAGGTCGCTGATGTTATAAACAAGATAAAGAACAATCCTCATGATCAAAAGACGAAGCTTCCGACTTGTAATCCATTAGATTTCAAGTTGTTGGTATCCCCTTGCCAGACGTTTGGACAGGTTAGCTCGCTTTTCGTCTGTTCTCATGTTAAAACTTGTTACATTTCCTTTGTAAACATTCCATCGTATTAGGAGATATAAATGGAAAATGGTTTGGTTTTTGGTTGTTTTTGCTAGTTCTATGTGGCGAATGGTGAACTTTCCTGTCAAATCTACCAGAGCTCAGCTGAAGCGAGTCTCGAGATTCCTTTCAGTATTGCTGCATATTCTCTCTTGACATGCATCATTGCTCATGTTTGCGGTGTGTAACGTTTTAATAGACCTATAGTCCTCTAATGATCTCAAGTTTGGCGTAAACAGTTTAAGCATTTGCACGGTTTCTTGTGTTGACAGATCTTGTTGCTGGTGATTTCATCCATGTGATTGGACAAGCCCATGTTAATACGGCTTACGTCAAGGCTATACAGAAACAGCTCCAAATCTCCCCAAAGCCCTTCCCGGTCGGTACTAAAACTTGTTCATATGTTCCTTATTTTGCTCTTTACCCAATTCAGGAAACAAATTGACTTCTTCTATCTCTCTAGATGTTGAAAATCAACCCTGAGAAAACGACGATTGATCACTTTGAGGCCTCTGATTTGGAACTCCTGGAGACATGACCTGCTTCACAAAGATATATGAACAATGGCTCTTTTTATACCCTCATTGTTGATTGCTTCTTCCTCACATGTTTCTGGAGAAGGTAATCCAAGCTTCTTACTAAAAAATTGTTCGATTGTTTGTCGATTTTATATCATTTGTTTCGCTATCAAAACATGACATTGAATATTGTAACCATTCTATGAAATGTTTTGTGTGTTCTTGGAGCATCCTCATGAGTCATGATCAAATATGGAAGTAAATTGAAACAAAATTTATTAAGTAAATTATTCTAATATCAATATTACAGAAAATATATTTCATAACTCATAAGATGTAACAAAATTTATACAAAGAAGAAAAAGAAAAGCTAAACAACATTTTATGCTCGGGCTTTGAAATATTTTTACCCGTCTATATATAATACAAACACACAAATATATGTGATTGCTATTGCATAAACTAATTCTTCTTTGCTATTTTTAGTATTTTTTTAGATAATACAAAATTCTTCATCCTTTTGGTTCCTCCTCTGTCTCGCAATGAAAGACTCGATCTTGTACCGGAGTTCATCGTCGGAATCAAATCTATCAGCAGATCTCTCCGTCTCCGATCTCTTCAATCTTCCACAAGAACTCTTCTTCGAGCCCTCGAGATTCTCTGAATAACTCCTTTGGTAACTCTGCCTTGAGCTTTCCTTTTTTTGAGTAATGATCTGTCTGTGTCTCTTCACAGTTATGTCCTCCTTCACTCTCACCTCGCCACTGCTCTTATTCGAAATGTTCTCAGTCTTTCTCAGTTTCTCTCTCTTATCTTCTTCAGTGTTCAGTTTTGCCATGTTCTCCAACATGTTCTGTTTTGCTCTGTTTTCTTCAGTGC